CCCTAACCCTAACCCTAACCCTAACCCTAACCCTAACCCTAACCCTAACCCTAACCCAATGGGAAGAACAAGATCCACGCCATCAACACGTGCGCCTGCCAGTCATCAGATGCCCCGCTGGTATAGTGAGCTGGCCAAAGGAAGACATGGAGGCTGCCGATGTGAAGACCCGGAAGCTCCTCACAATGTATGGAGGTCTCCACCCCAAGTCCAACACCCAGAGACTGTACACCAGCCGCAAAGAGGGCGGGCAGGGTCTGATGAGCATCAAAGCCTGGATGAAACCCGGAGCATCGAGGAATACATCACTAAGATGGGACCCAAAGGTGAGCTGCTGAGAGAGTGCCTGAGGCAGCAGCAGACAGGGGAGGAAGTTCAAGCAGAGGAAGCGCCATGGCAAGACAAGCCCCTGCGTGGGCTGGACCATCGACAGATAGCTGAGGTGGCTGACATTGGGAAATCCCACCAGTGGCCGGAAAGGGCTGGACTAAGAGACAGCCCTGAGGCCCTGATCACAGCAGCACAAGACCAGGCACTAAGCACCGGATCCACAGAAGCAGGGGTCTACCACACTAGACAGGACCCAAGGTGCAGATTGTGCAAAGAGGCCTCAGAGACAGTCCAACACAGAGCGGCAGAGTGTAAGATGCAGGCAGGAACAGCGTACACTGAACGGCACAACCAAGGAGCTGGCATTGTGTACAGGAACACCTGCACAGCGCATGGGCTAGACCCCCAAGTCCAGATGGGAGATTCCACAGAAGGTCGCGGAGAATAACAGGGCTAAGATCCTGAGGGACTTCCAGACCCAGACCCAGATGGACAGGCAGGGACTGGCCAATCAACCAGACATCGCGGTAGTAGACAAAGACCAGAAGACAGTGGTGGTGATAGATGAAGCAGGGCCAAGTGACAGCAACATCAGGAAGGAGGCGTATGAGAAGCTGGAGAAGGACCAGAGCCTGAAGGAGGATGTGGAAAGTCAAGGCCAAAGGGGTCCCCGTGGTGGTCGGAGCCCTCAGGGCTGGCACTCCTAAGCTGGGCGAGGGGCTCCCACCGACCCCAGGAGCAAGATCCGAGCTCTCTGTCCAGAAGAGGGCAGGCCCAGGAGCAGCCCAGATCCTGCGCGGGACCCTCACACTCCCAGGCCTCTGGCAGAGGACCTGAGACGGAGGAAGGCGCAGACCACCCAGAGGGGCAAGAAGGGGATTTTTTATTTTAGTTTCACGCAACACAGCCAATTGTTTATGATTTAATTTAAAGCTGGTCACCCAGCTCACAAACAACAACTAAGAATATATATAAATCTCCCCTCGCCCCTGTGGGTGGTCTTCAGGGACACCCAGGAGGGGCCAAAGAAGTGCCGGTTGTGGCTGCCACACATGTAAAACAAGCAGGGGGGCTGCAATTATACAGTCGTGGCTGCCATCTTGCCTTTTTTGACTGCCCCTGCAGACATCGGGGGGGAACGTCCGATTTGAGGGAGGATCCATCTTGGTGCCTTGGTGCCCACGTTACTGTTTATTCCGTCTCTAACAAGAGACGCAACTCTTCAAATGCCCAGAGGAAGTTCGAAGAGGAGGAAGAGGAGGTCAGCTTGCGCCCTGGACCTCCCACCCCAGCGGCCCTCGGCCCCGTCTCAGCGCTGTCCATTACGTTTTCCCGCCCTCCCACTCCTTTCTCTCCCTGCTGTCTGTCTGTCCATCTGGCCCACATCTGCAAGGGCTCCAGAACCTTAAAGGACCAACCTGGAACCCGTTCCTGAGTAACCATGAAAACAGAAGAGGGTGCCCACGGCAACCGACTCCAGGAAGCTACGCCCCTCAAAGGGGTCCAGATGGGAAGGCTCTCCTTCAGCCCCCAGAGGGAGCATGCAGCAGCCGAAACTCTTCTACCCCCAGCACGAGACCTACGCCTCCCGGCCTCTAGAGCGACCTGACGGCCAGCCCGGCCGAGCCTTTCCGGCTTTCGTCCTTCCAGAAAACCTTGCCTCTGTAGGTAGGCGACGTTGAAGCCGCTGCACTCTCCTCTTGCTCTACCCATATCCAGACTGGCCCCTCCAGGGGAGCCCCACGGAGGGCTCTCCTACCCCTTCCTGGGCTTGGCCCCTCTTCGGGGAGGGCAGCGTTCCCCGCTGCAACTTCCTGGACCCACAAGAGACCTGGCTGACTTCCCCCAGCAGCCCTTGGCTGCTGCCAGAGGAAAGGAATTCGTCTAGCCTTTTGGGTCCCCCCCCGCCCCCGTCTGTCCTTGGCAGGGCACCTTTGTTTTCCTGCCCTCCAGCGGGAACAGGGGTGCAACCCCACTCTTCCACTACTTGGGCCGCAAAGGGATGGGCCAACAGGTGAAATTCTCTGATGGGCCAGAGCTGCTGGAATTGCGCCATTTCTGCAGAGGAGGAATGCTCTCTGGCGCGTTTCTCCAAAAAGCGCCGACTGCTGAAGTTCCCTTTTGGGACGGGGGTGGGAGATGTCGTTTCACACAGGATGTCGTTGGTTTTCTACCCATTAAGGAGAGCGGGATGAGCTGTGGGGCACACCAATTGTAACCCTCACTTTAAGCTAAGCTAAACCTAAGCTAAACTAAATCTCTATCCAGCACAAATAGCCAAGGGGGGAAAATGCACAAACTGGTTAAAAATTAATGTCACGAGGCAAGGTCAAGGCCCCGTAAAGCTTGCTGCAACACCTACGTCCGAAACCTGCAGTGATTAAAATGGGAGCCATCACACAATCCAGAGTTTCAAGGCTCACCCGGAAGCAGTAAAAGAACCTGGTCTAATTTGAGAGCCATGGAAAGTGCCTGAATTTTCTTGTGTACTGTTACAGGGACACCCAGTTTGTACCACCCGCCCAGTCAAGATCTTTGTGCGACGCCCCCAGCAGGTAAATCTTCTGCGGTGCGTAGAACGTAGCCGTCAGGGCAGAGTGGCATTCGCTGGGCACAATGATTGTGGCGGGTTCCTTTTTTGCCCGCCACTGCTGTTCACCTCTCAGCTCCGAAACGTCTTGATCCCCCATGGATGCAATCAGTTGGTGCGAGATCTTTGTTGTAACCCTGAAGGGGGTACATAAATTCACAGCGGTTACTGTCAACCCTCAAACGATAACCCTCACCCTAACCCATTGGCGGGGGGAAAGAGCAAAAAGAAGCAGATGGAATCGATTGGTGGGCAAAGAAGGAAGCAGAGCCATTATAGTAAATCCTGATTTGGAATTGGGCACGGGGGAAGTCGGACCCCTTTTTTAAAGGTTCTTGGGAGGAAAACGGGGGTAGCTGGACAGGCATCTTGCAGTGGTCCTGGAGATGGGCTGTGGGGTTGGGAGTCACGCCCCACATTCTGGAGGCAGAGCTGCTCCCCTTCAAGAGGAAAAGACCAGCCGTGGCGTTATGGATGCCACAGTGCTCCTCTGCTCCATGCCCGATTTCTGGGCTGGAGGACTGATTGCTCCTGCAATTAAATCACCTATCTGTCCTTCATGCGTCTGCCTCTCCTCCTCGTCAAGCCAGTGCACAATGTGTTGCAAATGGTTTCTTGCATCGTAAGCATTCCCGTGTCCCGCATGCAGCATCTGTGGCTCGCTTTGGACAAGGCAGAGATAGGCTTTCCCCAGATTGCAGGGCATTTAGCTGGGCAGTTGGTCCCTGGCGTAAGGAAAGCCATCTTGTGCTCTACTGCAGGGTTCCTCAACCTTGGCAACTTTAAGACGGGTGGACTTCGACCTGGCTGGGGAATTCTGGGAATTGAAGTCCACCCGTCTTAAAGTTGTCAAGGTTGAGGAACCCTGCTCTACCGAACAAACGGCCCTGTGCACCTCCCAATGGGGCTTAGCCCAGACCGGTTTTGACCCTGAACCTTCCTGTTCGTCATTCATTTTTCTTTCTTGGCAGGCTTCCACATGGCGCCCTGCGGCTGCTTCTTTGACCCCAGAATCTACCGCATTGAGTGGGCAACGGCCAATTTTGTCCAGCCCTCAGTGTATAAACTCTCCAGTGGGCCCAGCCCGCAAAACTCGTACCTTCTGGACAGCCCAAAGTATCTCAAGGGGCCGGTCCAGCCGCTGCCCTACTCCCCGTACCAGCCCGTGGCCAGCAACCCCCCCTTTGCCATGCCCTTCTTCAAGCCAGAGGGGTCCCCCGCCAAGCTGACGGAGCACGTTGGCTTCGTTGCCAACCTGGCCCACGGGCCTCCGTTTGTGGAGGTGCCCCATCTCCCGGGCGAGGGCCTGGTGCAGGTGGAGGACCACAAGCTGCTTGCGGCGGTCCCGAGTTCGGGTCTGCAGGAGCAGCAGCTCAGCCAAGGGGGCCCCTACCAGCATCTCGACCCCAGCCCCAGCCTGGCCTTCCGAGCCTTCAAGACCTTCCCAGCGGAAGAGGGAGACTTTAAAGGCAGCGAGGCACCTGTGGAGCTCGGGGAGCCCTCTCTGACCCCCAGTGGCCCTCCTGAAGACCCGGCCCCCTGTGAGGGGGAAGAAGAGCTGGAGCCGTGCCTGAACCTGGGGGGCATCATGCCCCGGGAAGCCCCCTTGCTGGGGGAGCCGGAGGAGGCCTTCCACCTGCTGGACCAGGTTCCTCTGGAAGATGCCATGAAGCTCTTCGACTGCTCACCCGCCAGTTCCGACACGGAGGCGTCCCCCGAGGACCTGAGCCACGGCGGCCAGGGCGCCCCCCAGGGCGAGGGCGAGGGCATGCGGGAGGGCGAGGACTCCTCCAGTGACATCCGGTCCCTCAACCTGCCGGATGAGCTGCTCTCCTTCGACTACAGCGTGCCGGAAATCCTCAGCGCCGTGACCAGCTTGGATTACCTCTACGACGTGAACGCCTTCGGGGAGGAAGCCCAGTGGGAGAGGAGGCGGTCCCCCCCGCCTCTCCCGAGACACGCGTCTCCTTCGGGCGTGGAGGAGAAGAGGAGGAACATTGCCCTGACCGCCAAGCGGGGCAAAGCTGGGGCCAGGAAGCCCGAGCTGGCATCCATGCAGGGAGGCGACAGGCAAACTCCGGAGGCAGACCCTGCCCTGCTGGCCGTCTGACAGGCACGCGGGCAACTTGGACATTACTTGACCAAAGACGGGAAATGGTCCGATTCAACCATTTTGTCTATTAAAAAAGCATATCCTGAAACGTAGCCGCCTCTCTCCCTTTCTCCCTTGGGATTCAGCTGTACGGGAACCGGCCCTCGCCCCAGCGCACCCCCCCACCTCCTCTGAGAACCGTGGGAAGTGTGGTTGTCCTGGAATCTGGCGCTGGAAGGACCCCTTGAGGGCATCTAGTCCACCCCCGGTCAGTGCGGGGATCCAAACGGACGCTTCCACGAGAGGTGGCTGTCCAGCCCCTGCCTGAGCACACCTGGAGAAGGGCAGTCTGCCCTCTTTGGGCCCTGGGCTTCACCCAGCTCCGACTGGCGGGGAGGTGACGTTTAACAGTTGGGAAGTTTCGAAGAACATTAGGGCGGGTGCGCAAGGGAGCTTCCCCCAGGCGCTGCAAAGGATGTCACAGGAGGTTCCTCACAGTCGATAAAAAGCCTTGGCTGACTCGGCACTACTTGTCTGTGCAGGTGCAAAGCCTGCCAGCACCTTCATTTTCTGCAAAACTGGCATTCTGAGCAGACTGCAGTTTCGAGGGTGGCATTCCCCCGAGCCGTGACTCATGCAGAGAGCTAACTGGAAGCCTCCGATCAGAACCGGCTGTCCTGCAGTGCCTCCAGCAGGAGTAACGCATGGAGCTGTGCAGGGAGGCGGCAGAGCCTGGCTGACGTGATCTGCAAGGGCCTGGTCCAGGAGTTGCAGGACTACAGCTCCCATCTGCCTGGGAGGACCACAGGTCCCTCTCAGCCTCGAGAGCCGTCTGGGCCAACCTGGCCTGCTGCGGGTGGCCGGGGGCTACCGGGGGAGAGCAGCCTCTTCTGCTCTTGCCTGCCCTAGCTTGCCATTGCCCAGAAGCACCAGGCTTCCGCTTTTCCACCACATTTTCAGGGTGCTTGGGGTTCCCTTCAGATCTCTCTGGGAGACGTGCTGGAGCAGTGACTGTGGGGCATATTTTGAGACAAACGTCTTTCCATCGTTCTTCTGGAATCGGACAGAAGGTGGGAGGCCAGGGAGACTGCACGAGGAGACACCCCCCCACACACACAAACACACCGCCACTAAGGAGTGCACAGCCATCACCCATTTCGCTGACGTGTTGCTCCCCTTGGAAAGGAACATCCAAACATCAAAGCTGAGCCGGGGGGTGTGTGACCAAGGGCATTTCCCTCCCTCCGCTGGCCAGCTGAGCAAGCAATGTCCCTTCGCCCGCCCGGGGAGCCTGCAGTTCAGCATTTATAGACTGGGAGGCTGAGGGGAGAGGAGGAAAAAGGCGAGCCCTGGAGCATCTGGTTTCTGGCCCGTGGTTTTGCCAAAGCCCCACGCCTGGGAGCAGGGAGTGCAATTCCGTAAGGAATCACCTCACAGTGCCAGGTGGGGCAGCCTGAGTAATGGATTTGCCTGGGTAATCTGAGACACAGGCTTGATGGCAGCCGGGCACCGTGCCTGTCAACCCGCTTCCCACCCTCTACGTAGTTTTAGAAACAGAAGCTGCCCCGCTTGGGGTGGGCGGCCGCCCTCTTCCTCTTCCGCATCCCTTCAGGAGCAAGAACGGAGCGGCTCCCTCTCTTTTCAGGGTGGTACCCAACAGCCCCCCCCCCCCCCCCCTGGTGCTCAGTGGTTGCTACTCCGAGGAGCAGAACTGCCCACTTGTGACAGGTTTGGAACAGCCCGTTTCGCACCGAGAAGAGGCGTTTCTTTGGATCGCAAACTTGCTCAGATCAAAATCCTTGGCTCTGAGTGGCTGCTCTGCTGGCACGGGGCCAGGATGGGAGTTGCGCCAGGCACTTGTGCGTTCAGCATGGGAGTCCTGTGGCACCTTGGGGGTGCGCGATGGTTTTAATTCTCTCGGCTCCTTGTTCTATTTTCTGGGTCGCTGATGTGAGCCGCCCAGGGTTATATTTGTACAAGACTGATTAAATCTAATAAACGAATAAATAAATACAAGTTTTGCATGCTGCTTGGTCCTTGCATGGGTAGCCCAGATCATAACTTTGGTGCCCCCATTTTGGCTAAATTTGCACATGCAGAATTGAACGCTGTGTGTAGTTTGCAGAACAGATACCCAACCTCTAAATAGCCCATCAATTCACACACACACACACACAGACGCACATACACCCATCTTAACCTTTGCACACTGGGGTTGGTGTTTTCAGCTTGACCAGCAAGGGTTGTGGAAGTCCATAGGAGTTCCCTGGCACCCCCTGGAGGTGCTATGATTACAACCTGGGGAATTCTGGGAATTGTGCCTGCAAGAAGATGACTTTACAATTCTGCCAGTCGAGTGGCTGTTTGTCCGAGAACAGTGTTTCTCAACCTTGGCCACTTGAAGATGGGCGGACTTCAACTCCCAGAGTTCCCCAGTCCACCCATCTTCAAGTGGCCAAGGTTGAGAAATACTGTCCTAGAACATCCGGGGGCCCCTGCCACCAAAGGGCCTGTCCTGTCCTCAGCCAGGCAGTGAGGCCAGCACTTGGGGGTTATCAGAGGAAGGGCCGAGGGCTCAGGTTGACGCTGTCGCAGAGCCTGAGGCGGACCTCTGCTCCAACCTGCCCTTATCTGCCACAAATTCCTAGTCATCTCTGGTGGCCCCAGAGGGCCTGGAGGAGACAGCGTTTAGCTGCATGAGACAGCAGGCAAAGAGAAATGGAAGAAATATGATGGAGCGTCGCCATTGGCCACAGTGTAAATTTATTTAGCAAGTTGGAGTCAGGGAGGACACCGGACGCCCCCCTTCCCCACGAGGCGCAGAATCGGCCAGCAGATCTGGATCACGGCGGCACCTGGGGGCTCACCTCACACGCTTTTCCCTCGATTGGTTGAGTCAGTTAAGGCAGAGCAAAAGAGCAGGAGGGTGGACAGGAGGGGGCCGGGGGTCCCTGCAAAGAGAAGGACTGGCCGGCTGCCGAGACGGGGGCCTTCTCTCTTCCTAGTCAACTGGCCGGCTGGACACCGGCCCGTCTTCGGTGAAGACACGTAAACATGAGGAGGAACTAAGAGGCCCGACGTCATCACGGAGGACCTGCGGGTCCCTGCGGGGCGTTCTGGAAAGCTTTGGCACTCTCAGCAGAGTCAGGACCGAAGGGTGCATGGCCCGGCTGCTCCGGGGCTAGATCTCCTGCAAGGACGGGCCGGGGTCGCTGTGCTCGCGCTTCACCTGGGGCTTGCCGGTGCACCGGGCCTCTGCCTCCGCCTCGTTCCTGAAGTCGTCTGCAGGAAGGAGAAACACGGACCCAGCCTTAGCCTGGGGGGAAAGCCACTGGAGCTGGGCTCGGAGATGCCTCCCCTTGGAGGAGGGAGAGCGGATCCGTACCTTTCTCAAGCACAGCCGGAGACATGGACGCGAGGTCACTGAACTGGAAAAGAGAAGACGGGTTCTTGCAGGTGGCCCCAGAGACAAGACGGGCCCGCCTTCCACCTCCGCCCTTCTCCCTGCCATTGGTGCATGTGGCGAATGCGGGAGCATCAGAATCTACAGCCCAGTCAGCTCGGCTGGCGCCGAGGCCCTGTGCAGCCTGTGCGCCGCCTGGACTCCTGCTGCAGCCCTTCCCCTGGAACTCCAGACTCCAGTCTAAATGCAAAGCCAGCACGATGAACGGGAGGCTGAGTGGGGGCTCTGGGGGGAGCCAGGAGGGGCTGCCTGGACTAGCCAGGGCTCTCTGGGGTCTCGGGAAGGGAGGAGGCTTTTCTGGTCCCTCTGCCTGGGTGCTTTCAAACTCATCTGGCTGGCTGTCCACAGTTTTGTCTGCGTGCCCTGGTGCCCTTTCTCCGGGTTTCCAACAGCCCAGCCTTTGGGACCTCGGGGCTGAAAGGTGGGCCCTCCCCCTGCGCAAACGGGCCTTCCCCCAAAGGGTCCTTCTGCCCACCGTGATTAGCGTTCTGCAAGACACTCTGCAGCCCCGCCCAGCAGCAGCCCCACAACAGCAGGAAAGTGAGCGCAGGTTTCGGGTGCTCCCGGCAGGGCTGGAGCAGGCCATACCCGGCGCTCACCTCTCCCATCACAGCGATGGGTGTCTCCCCTGTGGCTTCGGCCACCCGATGCTCCACCAGGTAGAACATATACTCGTCGTAGAGAAGACGGATCAGGTGGAAGGAGCCAAAACTGGCGGCGCTGCGCAAGGTGAGGTCCCGGATCACCATGGAGCTGGGGGAGAAAGAAACGGCTGTTCAGCAGCTCAGCCTGAGACCCCGGGGTCCCTCCTTGGCTTCAGAGGGGAAACTAAGCAGTTCGTGGCCTGGGAAGGGCTCTTAGCAAGCAAAGATGCAAGCCAGGTTTACGTGCGCGCGTGCATGCGGGTGGGCGGACGTTCCAACTGGATTGTACAGCTACACGCTCTCTCCATATAGAAAGCTAGCTCCTCAGGCCGCAGTGCCAATCCGCTTCTCCAACGCTTGGGTCCAGGTTCCCCTGCAGTAGCACATGGGCCTCTGGGCTGCCTGTTTCTCGCCAATTCACGGCCTGCAGGGAGGGGCAGGCAGAGGCCTACCTGTAGAAGGACCATTTCAGGAGAAACTGCCGGGCTGCCTTGGGGAAGCTGGCCCCGCCCTCGTGCGGCTTCAGGACCTGGGTGACCACGTCGTCCAGCCAGCTGGCCCACTGGTCCAAAGAGCTCTGCTGCTGCAGGGTCAGCTTGAAATCCTGCTCCAGCTTTTGCACCAGGCCCTCTTCGCACTGGCAGACCCACGAGGCTTGCTCCTGGCCGGGTGAGAGAGACAGGCACACCTGCCAATGAATGCTTCAGGATTTGGGGCCACACACAGGTGCGCTACTCCCCTACGGCGAAGGGAGCGGGGAGCAGGTTCCCCGTAGCTAATGATCACAGTGGCTAGGTGGAACCTTTTGGTCCAGAGGCAGTCTATCTGTGGACAGCTGGGGATGCTGGGGACACGCTGGTGTGTTGTAGCTTCAGGGCCCTTTCTGAAACCTTCAGCATCCACCCCTGTCGGTTGCTGACAAGTCAGGATGTTAGTTCAGAGCAAGTAAGAATTCTGGTGGACTGCTCTTCCGAAAACTGGGTCAGACTTCCACAAAATCTCATGCATGAAATAAGTGGCTCAAATTTGTCAAGAGGCAAATGGGGGGAATTGGAAGGCGTGGGAGGAGCTCTCTCCCCATCATTCCAGCTCAAGAAACGGGAGAGCATGGTGCAGGGGGGCTACCCTTCTGCTTTTCCTCCCTCTGAAGGGAGAGTGGAATTTAGAAGAACTTTGTAATTTCAGAATTGGGGGTTGGAGTTTATTTGCTTTCCTCTTCCCTTTGCATTTCCTTTTCCTCTTGTGACATGTCCTCTAGGTTGTAAGTATATCTATGGTAATTTAAAATAATAGTAATGAGGAGGAGGAGGGGGAAGAATTGCTCACTATGTTTCTTTCAGAGCCACAATAAATGTAAAGAAAGCCTCCCCCACACCCGCATTTTAAAATCCTATCCAAAACCTTGTTCTCCAAGATTTTCTGATCCCTCTGAGCACAATAAGGGTTCAGCCTGGGTCATTAGCTCCTCTTAAGGCAGAGGTGGTTCACGTTACATTAATTTCAAAATTCTAAATATTTGTGCCAAACGCTAACTTCATAGGACGAATCAGAGATGCGGGGCTGGAATCCTCTGTCTGCCGGAAGGGTCAGGTGGCACCCTATGGAAGTGCTGGACTACAAGTCCCATCAACCAGCATGCCCATGGCCAGGAGGCACCCCCAGCTCCCCCCCAAGGGACCCTGCGAAGACCCGAACTGACCTGGACATTGGCAAAGTCCACCCGGTTGAGGTCGCTGAGCATTTGGTTGATCTGGGACGTGTTCTGGAGGACGGCCCGCGCGGCCTGGGCCAAGTGGTTCAGGGACGTGTACCTGCGCAGGGTCTGGGCAAAGGCACTCACCACGCCCACCTGCGGGGAGAGCGAGCATGAGGCTCCCCGGATAGGGACCTGGGGACATGGAGGGGCACCGGGGTCCCATCAAGCCACCTCCAGATACGTACTTATGGAATAAAAACTGGATAAATGGGAGCGATCCCTGACCATGAGGAGCTTTTTGCTTGAATTTAAATGAATGAAGGTAAAAAAATCCTGCCAAGGGATCAGGCCCAAGGCAGATGGAGCCCCGAGAGACTAAAGAAGTGCCCTGAAGTCCTCCGCGAGGTGATCCCAGGGGTGGGCTCGGACCTGGAGGGGCCCAAGAAGGAAAAGGGGGGGCAGACAGAGGCTTCCGTGAGAAGCCAGAGTGACACCCCAACGATGCTACGGGTGGCCTGGCATCACTGGGCAAATGACAGGGTTACGTGGTTGGCCTCCGTGGAGTCCCACACGGGGTGCGAAGTGCATCATCGTGTCATTCGCGCGATGGTGTCAGGACTGGGCGTGATGTCCTGGCTCCCCCAAAGGGGCACTAGGCTGACGAGGACGGCTTTTTGCAGGCTGGCCGGAACCAAATCCTTCCAATCCTTGCACCGAGCAGAAGGCTGAACTAGATGGCCTCGGAGGTCCCTTCCAGCTCCGTGATTCCAGATTACCAGCAATGTTAATGTACGCAGGGCCGAGGACTGGTCTGCTGAGACCGGAGTGGGACACCCACTCAGTAAAATGAAACAAGACAAAATAATAAAGATAAATAAATAAAATATCCCCCTCAATATTTCCCTCCGGTTTCAGGAGGACCCCCGACGGGCGTTCCTTGAGCAGGATTTTCCAGTCAGTGGGGCCTCCCTCACGCAGCCCCCCCTTGGGGCTGGGTCTCCTCCAGCAACAGTCTCTGCTCCACCTGACAGCTTGGGGGTGTCCGCAGGGTGGGGTCAAAAAAAAAAAAAATAGCACCACACCGTTGCAAGAATGCAGGCAGAGCTTCTGTTGCATCATCCTTGCCACCATCTTGACTTTTTTGACCACACGCTACAGACACCCCTACAACTGCGGCAAAGAGAAGAGAAAGGGGCAAAGCAGAAGCTGGAGACAGGCAGAAACAGGGCCAAACTCCTGAACCAGGATGATTAATTCAACCCCCTGGGACCAGCCAAACTGCATCCAAGAGGGCCAAAGCGGGAGGTCTGGCCAACCTTTAGGGGTGGTCTTTGAGAAAACCCAGGGGACTGCCAAGTGCCAGCGGCCCAGAAAAGGAAGGGCACCCCCCTTCCAAAGGGGGGAAGAGAAAGTTCCAGCAAAGTGCAGGCCGGTCGGTCTGACTTGACTCCAGGGAGACCCCGGCCCCTTGGGGGTGGTGGAGGGGCTCTGCCTTTGTCCCTTCCCCACAAGCAGTCTGCTCCCCAGATTCGAACCCGTCGCCCGCCCTAACCCCGCTTGCTTACCTTGCTTTGGACCACGGGCTGGGGGAACTCGCTCATGGCACTGATCAGCCAGCCCTCCAAGCTCTTGGCAAAATTGCGGATGGCTTGGGTCAAAGTGCCTGCAGGGGAAGAGGACGGAGCGGCCTCAGCGGAGTTTGGGAGCTGAGAGCCACTCCGCTTTTTCGCTCCCGCAATTTTTTTTGAAGGGAAGTGAATGGTCCCCCCCCACACCTCTCAATTCTTTGAATCTGCAGGAGGCCAACAGGCAATAAAAGAGCAAGCTAGCAGTACATGATAAGGGGGCAATAAGGTGTAGTGCTTACAGTGCTGGACTTATCAGCAAGACTCATTTTGAACCACTGGGTAGACACTGGAAGACCCTGGGTATCTCTCTCAGCCTACCCTACCTCACAGGGCTGTCGTGAAGATAATGTGGGACCAGGCATGGTGGAGGCTCCAAACGAAGGTTGAAATGGAAGAGTCTGAGTATTCCTGCCTGGGGAATGGGGCTGAACTAGAAGACCTCCTCCCAACCCTTCATGTAAGCTTCAAGTCCCCCATCTTGGACTTTGCCTAAACCGTGGCAAACAGCCGGTACTGCAGAAGGAGGAAGTTCTGAACTGGACTCCTGTGCCCATGATCCAGCCAGCCCCCCAGTCCTTGTTTGCTGCAATGCCAGCCAGATTCAAGGCGCGCCTCCAGACCTGGACACAAGGCAGTGGGGAGAGAAGAAGTCTGGGCAGACCAGAGGCCAACTGTCTAAGAGAGGCGTTCTAGACTGGCTCCCTTCCCCGACATGCTACCTTTCTATGTCCAGAGAACAGGAGCGTATGGCCGTCCCCAGCCTGGTGCTCACCAGACAGGGAATTCCCATAGGAGCAGCGGGTGCCTCCTGGGCCAAAACAACTGGGGAGCAATGAAAGGCTACATCTTGCGGGCACAGAAAATTGGCAGGATGGAAATTGATGGACGATAGAACTCAAACAAAGCCGCCAAGCTTTCCTAAGACGGAGAGGCCTTGGCTCTTGAAGCAGCTGAGAGGCGGGTGGTTTGTTTTGGAGAGCCAGGGGACTAAGAAAGAGGCTGCCATGGCCTGGCAGATAAGGCACCCTGTACCCAGCACATTTTAACAGTGTTTCTCTGGATCAGTGTTTCCCAGCCTTGGCAACTGTAAGATGTGTGGACTTCAACTCCCAGAATTCCCCAGCCACAAAATGAAGACTGTAGCCCTTGTGGTTGATTTATATTAGAAAAGAGGAACCCACCGCATACCTAGTCCGACTACTGGGCCCTCCATCTTGGTGCGAATCACAGCCTTTCAGACCATGGAACCCTAGAATGGAAGACTTGGAAGGGACCTTGGAGACCACCTAGCCCAACGCCCTGGGCATGCCAGGCAGGACTCTGCACTTCGGCATCCCTGATAGGCGGCCATCCAGCCTTTGTTGAAACCCCTCCAGCAAAGGAGAGCCCATTGCCTCCCAAGGCTGTTTTGTCCACTGGGGAATTTTTCCTGCTTCCTTCTCACTTAAACCCACTGTTTCTTGTCCTGTCCTCTGGGACAACCCTGAGGGTTTTCAAGCTGGAAATCCCATGGATAGGAACTTGAACTTTCAGCTAAAAAGTTTTCCGTCAATGGCCTGTAGCCCATTCCCGGCCTTAAGAACGGGAAGCTTAAAATCCACAGAGGACTTGCAGGGCGTGAGTATAATTGAAAACTAGGTTAATTACTAGGGAGTTTGACATTAATGTGGAAAAGCAAGAGGGAGGTTGTGCAGAGCCTGATAGAGAAAGGAGTCCTTTCGTTCGGACGCCTTGCCTTTACGCACCGGGAACAGGCCGGAGAACGTCCGGGATGAGAATCTCCACCAGGGTTTGGTACAAGAGGTGGTCGCAGCTCCGCATCCACGCCATGATGGGCTCGCATTTGCACAGGGCGATCAGTTTGTGTCTCGGGATGATGGCTTCGTAGGGTTCTTCGCTGCATGGGGAAGGCACAACAGCAAGCTCTTTAGCAAGATGCGCGCCTCTCGCGAAAGGCCCACAAGCTTGCTGAGACGGCAGACAGCTCCTGAAAGTCTATTCTGAGCCCATCTCTGCACTCAGGGCCAACAACCAGAGGCTAGATTTGAAATATTTTAACAAACAATGAGGCTTCCGAACTGAACACCTCCAGAGGACTGGGAAGAGGGTGAACGTCTTTCAGCACTGCTCCTGCTTGCCCGGCAATCTGCGAAACAGCTGAGATTCACCTTATTTTCATCCTTTGGTGTTGCTCTCCTGATCAGGGCTTGCCTCGGAGCCAATGATGCCTCCCTTTAATGGGACATGAACAGCTCCAAACACCTGCCTGGGACTCTCTAGATGTCTTGGAAAGCAACTCCCTAAATTCCCTAAGGCTAGGAAAGACTGGGGAAGCCTTATTATGTAGACCCATGTGTGTGAAGCAAGGTTTCCTATGCTGCTTGTTACTCTGGTAAATGGATTACTTTTCTGCCGATAATCTAATCTCAGAGGTGGGTTGAAGAGCAAAGGGCAAATAAATAAAATCAAAAAGGATCCCTTTAGAGATCAACAGCTAATGCTCCTTTGAGCATAGTAATGGAGCATCTTCACCTCATATAGATTCTCCTTTGAAAAAACACTACAGGTAGTCCTCAACTTATGACCATTCATTCAGTGATCATTCAAAGTTATGAATGTGCTGAAAAAGTGTCTTATGACTGGTACCCGAAGTTGTGGCCATTGCAATGCCCCCACGGTCACGTGATCAAAATCCAGGTGCTTGGCAGCCACCTGCACTTATGACCGCAGGGGCGCTTCAACTATTTGCTTCCTGTTTTGGCTCAGTCTTCTCCAAAAGGAAGACATGTCTTCTACCAGGCAGTGGTGAAGTGTAGAAGGAAAGAAGGGCAGAAAGGAATGAATCTTGCAGCCAACAGGAACATTGACACTGAATGAGATGACATTTCCTGGCTGCCCAATAAGCTGTCCCCAAGGCCTATTGAATTCTGTGTGAGCTTGGCAGAATTCTGGAGAAGTGGCGAGGTGTCAGTTGACCGAGGGTGCAAAGGCTGGAACAGGCCTGGAGAAGGAGGCTTCCTGGACTAGAACCCAAGTCCAAGGAAGAGAAAGGGAAGAAGCTCAGAAGACAAAAGGTGCTTGGGGAGGAATTCAGCCAGCGGAAGAGCAAGACCTCTTCCCTAGTGTCCCAAAACGAATAATGACATTGTATTGTCGAAGGCTTTCACGGCCAGAATATGATGGCTGGTGTGGGTCTTCCGGGCTGTGTGGAGATCTGAGTGGCTGCTTGTTTTGGTGTCAGAATACGTGTGTATCTTCCTGGGGATTAGGCAGGG